TGGTCCCATTGAATGTAAACTAGGTTGTCCTTATTGTCAAGTTTATTAATCTTGCTAATGACTTCCTCCTTATCCGTTGTGATTCCAGGATATCCTCTTCTCGGTCAACGATTTCCAGCAGGGCTGTTAGCACATTTTCTCCGGAGATATTTGTATAAACGGATTCCACATAAAAACTGACCAACAAATCTTTCTTCCGGTGCCACTTTCTTGATTTTTTGACAAAATTTATATGAATGTTTCACCGTTTTCGATAGCCTGTCCTTTTATATCTTGAGTTTCAAACATATGAACTTTGCTAATGTCTTTTTGACTATCAGCCTTATTGGCCCGCCTTCTTTGTGCATCTTCCGTAATCTGTAGGCTGTTGGTGGTCGTGCATCCTTTCTTATGCTTGAATTTATTGTCCATGAGTTAATTTCACCGTTCCTATGTATATCTTTCAGGATGTCACTTAAGATTCCATTGCTTTTTATAGTTGGGTTCTTCTTTAGTTTACGATATGTAGTCCTGTCTCGTAGAATATATTTCATCTCGGTATATTGTTTTTTGTCCATTATCACTGTTACTCCTTTATCCACCTGAAGGACTAATTATTCATTCGTTTCCAGGGTCTTGTGTATCCTGGCAAATCGGTTAATGTGTGTTGGTTCTTGAGGCGTCAAGACCTTTGGAATTAGTTCCATCTACATTTTCCGTTTTGTCTCCTCAAGTATCTTTTCTGAGATATTTATAATCATACCGGTGGCCACACCATCTTGCTCTTAATATTAAAAAAAAATTATTAATTGAAACCTCGGTTGTGTCCATTTTTTAGAGAGAAACTTGATCATTTATCAGAATCTGGCTCTTACTAGCTCTTGTGTTCATGCCATCACTATTTAATGGAGGCATTTCACACCAATCGCCAAAAAGTAGCTAAGCACAAAATATTGACATAGGCTGTTGGATTGAGCGATCAGTGGTGGCCTAGCATCCTGTAGGAACTAGACATGAAATATAATAAACCAAAATCCATCAATTTGCTGATTATTGAGTCTATGATGAAAAGCTGGGTTTTAAAGAATCTCTTGGTACTTTCATGTTAAACCTTTTACTTCGTATGCAATGCTGGGTGGAAGTGATTTGTAAATTAGGCTCTTCGAATATCTTTGAGGTTTGCCCGCTGATTTAAGCGTAGGCATCTACAGTATCCTCTCATGAGGCCCCGACGAACCTGTGCAGATATTTATGCCCATACATGCCGGATCAGAATACTATTTTTTGATGAAATTAACTAAATTCTAATTCAAGAATCGTCAACGGAGTCAATCTTATAACCTCATTTCGATATCTGATTGAGACATCCCCTGACTTTGTTGGCCACTTAGTGCTTCTTATTACATGCTTTCACATACATGAACTTGCAAGTATATATATGCAATGCAAGAGAGTCATCTGAAGTAAGAACATCATAACCAAATTTTAGGCTAATCAAACCTCCTACTCTGTGTTTTGTCTCGCCCACTTTTCCTAATTGTATCCAATAGCCAGAAAAAATTGCTGTTCAGTTTCCTATGATCATTCTTTTCATTGGAGCCCACCACATGAGTACACGGAAATTGTAACAAGGAGATTTATATATATATATATATAGTTATTTCAAATTTGATGATCATCACTATATGAGCCCATATAGCTTGACTCAAGGTTTGATTACAGAGTAATAGAGAAGCTATTTTTTGATTAACGAGATGTACTAGGCCTTTTAAAGTTTATGGTCTGCCTAAAATCTCTAAAGAAGGAGTCCCACTTAGGATTATTGTGAATACTAATTGTTGCGTGATGCGTGGGCCAGCACGATTTGTAACCACTTGAAGCAATTCCTCTTAAATATTAATTATTTGCTAAGAAATTCCAATGATTTCGTTTAGCCGGTAGATAGGCTATTAATAAAACGTCAGATTGGTTTGCAAGCTTTGATGTATATTTCGGTTAGCAGGGCAACATCGGCACTCAGAGACAATAATGAATAGAATTTCCGGCAAACTAATCAATCATGAAGTAAACATATTTTTTTAATTCATGTAAATATGTCTCATTGGAGATTGAAAGGGGGTTGCCTTGTGACAGTGACTAGAGTTGAGCGAGTAAGTCCTTGACTCACCGTCCTGCGACCCCGATGAAGCCTTACTGATTTTTCGTCTGTCATGCGACGAATATCGTGGGAGCAGAACACCTTGTTTTTCAAATTAAATGAAAGGTACTTCAACATCAATAAATTAAGGGATTCTTCGAAGACTAGTGCCTACATATCTTTACTTAATAACATTACATGTATTATTCAAAATATTAACTAGTATTAGCAAACAAGAGTCTTAGCTATGAGGTCTTTTTGACCTTAATTTTATCCAATGGTTACGCGATCTTACTAGAAGTTAAGGTTAGGATTACTAAGCTATTAGTGAGGAATGTAGACGATTGCTTTGCTGTTTGGCACAGGGCAAAGAAATTTTGCAAGAATTCATTAAATGAGTATAATTTATGGGTGCCTTAGTAGACAAAGCAGAAAGTCTGGTATAAATGTCTATAGGTTACCTAAAATGGGAGTTTATTTTTTTATTACACATAAAGGTCAAGAATTCTGTACTTAGCAGATGTATATTGTCCGGGTTAGGCAATGGAAATGTTAAAGCAAGTTTCAGTATAGATAATCTATCCACCATGATTATTTGACAAACTTTTAAGACAAGACTTAGTCAGCTATAAAATATTCCCGATGTTACTATCCCAGGGGCTTTCGGAAAGACGGGCAAATTACCAAAAACATGGTCTATAAGTACATTGCGAAGAAAAGTATTAATTATGACATGTGCTAAATCGCCTTACTCCCTTAATCTCTTAGGTACGTGTACATATGGAGTTGGGTCCCGTGGTCATTTGTGTTTGTCCCAGCGAACTCTACTGGCTGCAGTTGATGCTTCGTCGGATGAATAGTATCTGGGAGGAATACTCTGCTCCTTCTCCTTCTTCTGATACTTCCAGTACCGCAGCTGTGACTGCCATTCCTGCTTCTGGTGTCCCAGCTTCCACTTCTGATCTTAACTTGGTTTGTTTTTCTTCCTCTGGGGAAGCAGTTCATCCTAAGTGCTATCACCACAGCCGATGTATTATGAGTCAAGATAATGAACTATATACTCGTTGCAACCCCCAGGAGTCCATTGGATGCCACTCGGTAATCTAATCAGAGACGTAAAACAGGACTTTTATTGTGTTGTAATTATTATTTTTTTCATGTTTTTTATTTTATTATTAGGTTTAGAAACTACGTTTCAAGGAATCCCGTTGGGCCAGGTTATTGATATTATTGAAGTTGTAAGACCTTGTTTTCGCAATTTGGTCATATGGGTAGGAAGATTTAGAGGAACGCACCTAGTCCGGAGTCCATAGTATGTATGATAATTTTCAAAGCCGGACCATAAACATGGTACCTTCCCAGAACTTTCGCCGGCATCGTCAGTGAATCTTGCTAGTCTTAAGACCAAACTACAACTCGTCGAAGAGACAAATGAAGCTGATCCTTTGACCAAATGTGTGCTAAACAGTTGCGGTATCTCTCCTTCTGTCATGGCCTATTCACCTTTCCTATATCCTAGTATCACGCCTTCATTATCACCATTTTTCCTCACTTATTTAAATGTAATGTGGTGTGCCCTTTTGAGCGATTTTCATGAAAACCCTCCACACTCCACACTGGCGTTCTCATCGCCCTTCACCCTTGTGCTGAGAATGTCGATCAGAGTCTACCATATTGTTACGCAGTCCTCCTTCCCTAGGTCTTTACAAAGGCTCTCTCCTGCCCCGTAGGATCCGTCTGCTATCTCCCTAGTTCAAGTATTTCACTCGATCCCTGCCAACCCCTCCTTGCTCCACGAGGCGTCATTTCCCACTCTCTGCTTCTTTTAGACTATCTTGAGTCTAAAGACCTCGAGTGATTCTCAGGGTCAAGCCCTTGCTACATGGGCCACGTATATGGTAAAACAGGCCTACTGTCAGCCCACTAGCTTCAGTCTCCGCCGTGTCTATCCCGTTTCTATCCCTAATACAAAGTCTATCATTTGCCATGCCCTAGAGTCTTGTGTGCTAACCAACAATCGTTGTGTTTCAACATTTAACCTAATCAAAACTTATGAAGTCATGCATGCGATGGACGCCGGACTAGGTGCGTTCCTCCAAGTCTTCCTACCAATATGATCAAGTTGCGAAAACAAGGTCAAACAACTTCTATACAATGAAAGGGGACTGCGACCAGACAAAAGGCCACATAATCTTGGTCTTCATATCTATTGCTATTATTCTTATTTGATAGAGGGCCCACGTAAGGGCCGTCCTTAAGTAGGATTAAATGACAAAGATAATTAGCCTTTTGTATATTTGACTTGTATTTCGAGGCTGACGCTTGATATCACCTTTACCTCCAATAGACATTTTCTATGGGATAAATTACTCACTTTCGTTAATTTCAACCTATCGCTAAATCAACATGATTGCTCTCCTTAGTCATATTATAATCTAAAGGGTTCTGACCCGATTCATTATACTGCATGTTTGCCCAATTTGTTTAGCCATATTCAGCTTTTTTTCATTTACACTTAATGAGTTGCGACTTATTCTTACATCCAAATCGATGTTTTGTTGCAAGCATTATTTTAGATCGTTAATTCAACATAAAAGGATGTACGCACCTTTCGACCAGATCCTTTTCATATAAATCAATTTGTAAAGTTGCATTCATATATGCCAAATAATTGGAGCGTGAGGATTACCATAGAAATATTTTGCCCTATTAAGGACCAAACTAGATATGGGGCTCAGGTGACGTGTAGTTAAGAATCATCTCTCGCTCTGAAGAGTTCTCTTATGCGACAGACGAGGTCTTCTTATTAATACCCACTGCCTGGAAGGCATTAAACATCAGACACGTAGTTTCATAACAAGGCTGATTCAAGTACACTCCAAGCGGCCCAACAAATGTCGCCAGTAATCTTTTGATATAATAGTTTAAGAATTTTTACCCCAGCCAACTCTTCATAAAATAAGAAACAATGCTAGTCATTTGACTTTTTCCATACCTCCGTTCTACAAAAGATAGTCAAATCAATCCTTTTTATATCATTTTAAAAGTTCAGGATTGCTTCTTTTGTTAAGTTTATTTGATTAGTTTTTCTGTTTTTTTTATTTCTAACATTTTTCATATATTTTCAATTATGTTAAATGGCATTTTGAGACATATTCCCCTACCATGCCTTTATATAAACTTTTTATCAGACGGCATCAATTAGGTATTGACTTTGTTCTTATAACCATGATTATTATTTTAATTTAAATATTCTATTTGCTATAAGTTTAGGTACTTTTATTAGGCTTGTTTACAAATCATAGCCTACTTGAATAGCTTGTACAAATTTCTACCAATATTATGGTTTATGTTTACATTTAGATACAGATATTTTGCTATTGACACTGATTATAGGCTGATAGTTTTACAAGGTTTAAAAAAATGTTTACCAATATACATTAAGTTCTTTTATATTCAAATTATACTATATTAGTCTCTTAGAGCCTTATTATAGACGTAAAATGGGTCAATCACGGCAACCACTCTTGATCTCATTTACTTCTTGATTTAATCAATTCTTTACAAGTTCTCTATCAGTTCTATGAATACCTCCGTAATTATTAGTTATCAGTTGTGGATCTTTATGTATTTTCGTTAATCTGTGTGTTATTGCGGGTCTATTATATTTTTATAATAGCGAATTTGTATATATATTCATTCCCTATTTTATATTCATTTCTTTAAGTGTATTATAAATTGCTCCCCCTATTTTATATGTTAGGCTCCCCACTTGTCTCTTTAATTTTATTCGTATTACGCGGACTTGTGATTCAGCTTGCCTCTCCCTTATTAAAATCTATAAATTTTTAGTGTTAGAGAGAATTCTACAAGAAGCAAAATCTTGTCCTTCACTGCTTTAACTACAGTCGTTGAATGCTATTAATCTGATGTCCTGTTTAAATGTCTTAATTTAAACTCAAAACTAATATTCATTGTCATAGTTATTTTTTGTATGCAGAATGTGCTACTCATTTGCGGTTTAGAGTAGACTGTAATACTAGTCTAATAAACAGATATTTTACCTCTTCAGACAAATAAATTCAACAATATGAAGGATACAATCCAGGCAGCGCCTTCAATTTACACCTCTGTGCTTGGTAAGCAAATTGATAACTTCATTTCAATAATGAACTTTTGCTGAATAAAATTTGAGTTTTAATGTGTAATACAAATTATAAATTTGGCGGATTGGCACTACACTAAGTAGCTACAGCTATACTGGGATCAATGATTTATACAAGCACATCTTTGAAGCATAGGATAGATCATTCTCTTATTTAATAGGTGATTATTTTACCCATTTCATTTTATAATTTATAGATAGCTATCTCGTTTACTTTATTATTTTCGATTCAATCGGATGCTTAGCTACTCACTATCTGCTTTGATTTTGGGCATTTTTTATCTTACGAAGGCTAAGATGGGGTGGCCTTCTTTTTGTTGGCAGGCTCCTTTAGCTTTATAATGTTTTTTTCGGCCTATTCTTTGCAACTTGATATGAGCGTCAGGGAGACCTTGTGGAACGTACATAGTCATATGTCCTCTGCCATAGTATTCGTGACATCTAGTATCGGACCATTGACTTGGTACACTCCCAAATGTTTAACCGGCATCGTCAGCGGGAGGTGCCATCATAAGCATGGAGTTACAACTTATCAAAGTGACAAGTGAAGACAATCCCCCTGACCGATTTTCTGTTCAACCGTTGTGAAATCACTCGTCTATATTTTTTGTTATACATTCTAGTAACGCATCTCTTTCTCTAAACCCCACTTCATATGGTCCATTTCCCCATTGACAGATTTTTAAGACTAACTAGGTGACGATAAAAATATTTTCGTCAAATATGAAGGTCTATTATTCGTGACGAAAGAGCATGGTATTATCTCATACATGTCAAAAATGGATTCTCATCTAATCATGACTGCAATCATATATTCGCTTTACTTTCCTCATCGCCTCCACTTGGTGCCAAATCTGAAATGTTATGGCACAAAAGTAAGTTAGCGTTAAACAATGTGCATCCAAATCACCTAGGTTACGCACTTAACTATGATGAAACATACCTCTTTCGATCTCCATATATTCTGGAGTTACGTTGATTACACTATCTTGCATGCCATTAAGCTTAATTTAATTATTATTTCCTAATTGTAAGTTCGAAGCTTACTTTCAGGAGAATTTGCAATAGTTATACATTTCCTATGCCTTTTAATCATATATCTTTCGAAGCCATAATTAAACTTGGAAGAGATGGAAGTTTGGAAATATATCTTTTGCGAACTTCTTGAGACTGGAGTGTGAAGGCAGCTTTGGCGGTTACTTTTATATCTTCCAATATGACGCTTTTTATATTGTTAAAGTGATAAGTGAAATCCAGAAGACTGCTGATATTATTCGCTTGAAGGGAAGATAATGTATATTCTCCATTTTGGTCTCACTTGTCTTTGGCCCATAATTTTTTCCGACCTCTAAACTTTTTTGTTTGTTTTGTACTAATGCATTTATTATCAGGGGGCTTGATATTCTTGGCGATAACGAGCTTGTATATCTGTCTCTGCCTTTCGCAAGTATATATATTTTTTCCACACATCGAACATTTTTTCGTCGCTTATAAGTTTGCCTCTTAGTATCTTCATATATTCACTTTTCTCTCAGCTTTGCTCCTAGGAAGTCTTCCTATTTCACACTTTTCCATATTTTCCGTTTTTCAGAGATCATAAATTTTTGTTATTATTCATTGCTTTGACACTTAGTCGCATTTTCAAATTAATTTATTTCTGATGTTAGAGTACCTTTCATTTCGCTTGAAGAAGCGAATAGAAGGGATCCTAAGTTGGCCTCGCTAGAAGCTGAACAGGGATTTCTTCGAACCGTCCTAATAAGTCCTGGTCAAACCTCCTCGCGACCTCGATGAATCGTTACTAAGCCTTGTTCGAAACCTGGTTTTATGCATACCTAATTTCATTCTTTCTTTTCTTTACTTGCAGATAGCCAACTTTTTCGGTCTTGTATTTCAAGCGATGAATTTGATGAATCGCTTCGTCCTTCTGACTATCAATATG